ACACACACACACAAGCCTCTGGTACCAGGCGGCAGAGCTCTCGGCTCTCCAGTGGTGTGTCAAAGTGTTCAGTGACCACAACGCCTGGTGTTATTCTCATTACAGAGGGATCAAAGGGACATGAGCTTCATAGCAGTGGGGACTCTCTTCAACCCCCTGAGAAGCAACTCCTCCTCTAATCTCAAAGGTCACATTTAGTCATTCAAATATAAAACAGCAGCACATCACTCGCACCCATGTGACCTGCTGGGGTCTTTTCCAGAGCCGAGATTTCAGAGGAAACAGACATGGATAACTGTAACATGAAGAAACTGTATTTGATACTTTAGCAATAATCATCCTCCACAGTACCCTGTTGATATTTAATTTGGACTGGTAAAAGATGTTATTTAAATATTCCATTAATATTCTGATGCACCTTACTACACACTGACAATAATCCTCATTGAGAAGCTGGATGAGTTTGTCCTTGCAAGGTGTCCTAATGACAGCCATGAATTGTACACACACTTTATATTCTGCTCACTCACTGTTTTCAACAATGCTCTAATGTCAGAGGTTAAATGAGGTAAGGGGATGAAACCTAAAAAGTTCAAATGTATCTTTTTTTAATCTATTTTAATACATATTCTTTCTTGAAAAATGTGATTTTACACACTTCCAAAGAACATGCTATATGTGTAAATAAATCAATTCATCATGTGCTGCACAGAGCACTTCTGCAGTCAGAAACACTGCTGCAAACACGCAATGTTCACAATTAAAATCGCACCAGTGATTTTTGTCATGGAATTTAGTTTTCATTCTTTAAATGACACAGTGAGTGGACAATGATGGTGGCAGCTAATAAAATTGCAGTGCCAACAGCAGTTCCTCGGGATCTGAGCAGCTGTTCTGCAGTCTATATTGGCCTGTTCTTCAAGTGGGGAAAAAAAGAGCAACCTAGATGAGAATGTTGTGCTTCAGTGGCTATTGAAAGATGAGGCAATAAACGGCTAAACTTGAGTAATCACACACTCCCTGAGGAATTTCTCAAATGGGGATGGTCAAAAACCTTGAAATTTGAGCCCCTCGCACGCGGCCCAGGCTTTAACATTTGATGAGATTCATTATTGTAGGGAGCTGAATACAAGTGTCTTCTGATTACAGGGCCCACTATTAAAAGTTCCCACCAGTGTGCATTTCCACGGTAGAACGTCAATGGGATTACAATCTCAATTCAATCCAGTCAATTCTCCGGTAACAAGATTTCATTAAAAGCAGGCAGGGAGGAAAAGTGACTCGAAAGCACTGAAACAGCTGGACTATAAATTATAAAAACGTGCTTTCTGCTAACTGAACACACCTTCAGCATGCAGATGCATTATTATTTAATGTTCAGAGGAGCTGGTTTTATGTAAATGGGAGTCTTCTATTCTCTTCAGTCCCCATCTCAATGCCAGGTACTTCCAAACCAAGCAAAGGGAGAGATTATGCAAACCAATTAACATATGAAAATAACGTATTAATATACTGTCTCTGAACTGTATCCAATCAGTTCCTTTTCACTGGCGTGTGTACAAAACAATTAAAATTAAATTTATACTGCTCTTCCTTAACATATTCTGCAGCAAATGGAATCAGTGAGCAAATGCTGACAAAAGTTTTACAGGCCTGTGTTCTTCCTTAAAGGCACACTGACTTTAAGAATATTTATAAGACGCCATGCTAATAAATTCCACTCTTTGTTTCTCCCTAATGATGTGTGCATCTGAGACAAAGCAGCGAAATCCATAGCGGTAGCCAGGTGCTAATGAATGGCTTACATTATGCTGTCCACTAATTACTACCGCACCATAAATAAAACACAAGACAATCAATTAGCGGTGGACGTGTGTTTGTTAGTCATGGGCAGCAAGTTCCTCCAGGCCAGAGCTCTGCCACAGACCTGCCTCTTCAGGGTGTCCTTTTGAAATGGATAGAATGAGTTCAGATAAATCACATTTTGAAAGTAACTAAATGCACTTCAGTCGTTCCATTTCTAATCTCACAGATTGGAAGTAAACTTGTATCTACACAGTTTCAACTGAGAGGTGAGTAAAATGCACATAGAGCAGAAAGT